TCCCTATATTTTTCTTCACAATATGCTGTCTCCTTCAAATCAGTTTAAAGCATCGTAAAGCGATCAAGACTTCTAATAATTTTCTTCAAACACATCAATGTCTCAAAGACCATTTCGCTCGAAATATGCAGTATCTCACTGACAAACAACACTGGAGTTTTGTGTTCAGTACTATTCCAACTGAATGGAATTCAAGCAGCTTATGTATAACCCCCCGAAAGCTAGACAAGGGCTCGGCACAGGTGGCTTACCGGGCAAGATGGATATCGGCCGGTTTTGGGGCCGCCTGCACTAACCTCCCTGCTGGGAGGGGATCGCAGCTTAAAAGAAAGCTTTATATTTCGAAACTTCAGATACCCGGATTTTACATTGTGTACCTATCCGTAACTATTCCTACTACCCTTCACTATGAATATGTTGAAGAGGAGCAAGAAGCTGTACGAACCGCATTTTCCAACTTTTGTATGGTCCCTGACGATCCCCGGCGCTTTTCTTTAAAGTCATTTTTCTTTCTCCGAAGTTAACGAAAACCTTCCAAATTTGTACTGAACATCTAAGACAACAGTGCTAAGCATGTTGCTGATGAGAACAAATGAGTTTTTGAAAAGTCGAAATTTTCGGTAAACCTCAAATTTCGACCTGTGGATCATCAAGAATTTCATGACTTCAAAACATCATTTGTTCTCATCAGCAACATGCTTAGCACTGTTGTGTTAGATGTTCAGTACAGCTTTGGAAAGTTTTCGTTAACTTCGGAGAAAGAAAAATGACTCTAAAGAAAAGCGCCGGGGATCCTCAGGGATCATACTAAAGCTGGAAAATGCGATTCGTACAGCTTCTCGCTCCTCTTCAACATGTTCATGATGAATGGTAGTAGGGATACTTACGGAGAGATACACAACCTGAAATTCAGGTATCTGGAGTTTCGAAACATAAAGCTTTCTTTTGAGCTGCGATCCCCTCCCCATCGGGGATGTTAGTGCATGCGGCCCTTGAAGGTAAAAGCAAAAGGGATATTGTTTTTGCGGAAGAATATACCGCTGTCTTTCGATCTGCTGCCTGCACGCTGCCGGCATGCCAGCAGCATGGTCTTGCAAACAAACAAAGGGCTTGTTTAAAGCGAAGTGGAAATGAAATGACACAAAAATGGGTGTGTAGATGGGCAATGGAGGGATAGTACTATATGCAAAAAATTGTGAAAAAGTTATATGAACTGAAGTCTCGGCAAACTTTTTTTCGGAGTTAGGTGGCTTTACAGCCACCTAACCTGGACACCAAATGGACAGCCACTTGGCTGTTTTTCTTTTACAGCCACCTGAGGTGGCTGTAAAAAAAAGTCATAAATTCTCTGTCTTCACATGAATTTTCAAAACTTTTAACATAAATATACTTTACATCCTGTTGCCCATCTACTCAATTTTGAATGGCTCCAAACCCCCTCCTCTTCGTCTAGCTACAAGCTCCCCAACTTTTTAGAGTGCTTTTTCGCAGGCTGCTCTAGCGCAAAAAAGTGCGCCGGCGACAACACGTTGCAGGAGCTCTACACCGAGCACCACACATCCTTCACTGTTTCGATGTCATGTTCTGTTCGTGTTCGTGTAATGGTGTTTTCCGAATGATTATGACGATTTAGGCCATGGGATCTTCGTTATCTAAGCTGTCGCCAGTGCGTGCCCTATTCGGGCAGTTTCATCGTCTGAAGCTGATCGTCGAGGATAAAGCTAGTGCGGAAAAAGAGGATACTGAGCCCATAAAACATCAAAACATTCAGGGAATGACAATAACACAGCCGGATTTTTATTGCTTTTTCAATGTTTTTCGAAATAATTACATTGCTAATCTTACCTTAATCCATATGTTCACTTTCATGTATCGCTGTTTGATGATGTCTTGTTTCCTGAGCCTCGCGCAGAGTTCGCGCGATTTTACCGTCGCGATTCATCGCGACAAGACAAATGTAATAATGTCATTGCATGCCGATCTCTTTGCAATTCGGTTGTGATAGTTTTCCGACACGACTGATCGAGACTAACTATCACAACCGAAATACAAGACGATCGGCATGCAATGAACTCGTCACTTGTCTTCCAGCGATGAATCGCGACGATGAAATCGCATGAACTCTGTCTTGGTCCTAAAACCTTACAATGCATTCTGAACCAGTTACAAAGAACGCGGTGCGTAAAGGAGGTTCCTTTTTTGAAAAGAAGTTATGAGTAGGTTGATTCACTTTTTGAAAAGAAGTTATGAGTAGGTTGAGGTTCTATGTGAAGCTAACGTTCATCAGCAATCTTAGCATTGCGTCTATGTTGAATTGCCCGTGCTGTTAGTTTTTACATTTGTTGACTTAAAATTATAATGTCCGTTAGTAACAATGAAAAAAAGTGACGCATAAACTTTGCGCCAAGTGAATGCTTGTTTGTCGCTGTTCGGAAGCTTTAGAGAGCTTTTCTACTTTGCGAATGTTTGCATCAACCAAAATAGGATGGTTCAATGATCAGCTATGCTTTTAGTAGCACTTTCAATTGTGACTTTTCTAATCATTCTTTTTAGTTTGGTAGTTGCGCTTATGATTTTGCGATCTTCGATGGTTTTAAAGAGCTTATACATTGTTTTTCGGTCGCTCAAGTATTCTACGTTTAGGCATGCTCCGTCATTTCCACCAATATCTTTGCCCAGTTATGAGGATGACTGTAGTTCATTTGTGTGATTTAACATAGATGCAATGCTAGGATGCTTTGTTTGATATTTGCTTACACCTTAAGCTTCTTTGAGCGCTGAATGATATTTTAATCATAAAGATGGAGACATCAAATACATTGCTAGGTTCGGTATGCTGTGTGGTTTGATCAATTGTTCTTCTAGTGAATTTACGTTTTTGCTGCTTCTTTAATTTCGAATAACAACTTTCTGATATCATTATTGTGTTGCACTTGATTGTTTCTATGCTAGATGGGACGAAGAAGTTGAAATCCATAGTGATTGACGATATGTCGAATTTTTATAGATCCCGTTTCCAACCGCAGTCATGGTGATACTGTTGGCAATACCCACTCAGCGAATGCGCAGTATCTGTATAAAGGAACTGCTGAGAAAATGGTGCATTTCATGCAGTAATCAGCATCAACAGGTATAAAAACTTGCAAGGCCGAATTGGAATTTGCCACCGCAAGTTTATTATATTACCATAATATTGGCTTTTGTCGTCATCAGGGATGTGGTTACAGTCGCATATGCCTGTAATATCTGTATCATGCTAAATGTCTTTTTTCAGGTTCGTAAAGCACACAAAGCATACAAGCGCCGTTATGAGACTTCCAGTACGAAGGACATTTGCAAATGCCGAACCCCTGTCGTGGACAAACTCGATAATGTGGACCAGAAAGAGGACTGTTGCTAACGCCAACGTCCAAAAGTACCTCTTTGACGCCAATTCGCGCTGCTTGGACAACCCGTAAAAGATCGCGTTCTCTTCCTGCGAAAAAGAAAGCCATTCTGGTCGCACTTTGAAACATTTGTTTTTTTTGTAAATCCCTCACCTCAATGATTCCATCGAATTTTTTTTTAACTGCTTTGATTGATCTCTTCTAATTCACTATCTGCCTCATTACGATTTCACAATTGTGCGTTCATCTTGCTATTTGTTCGCTCGCATTTATTTTGATACAACTTGCTAAGAAAAAGTCATTTTGTTTACGTGTGTGTTATGTCATTATGAATAAATGGGTTTATTTTCTATTTTTTCTCAAAATTTTTCTTCACCTATCTTTGATTCAACTGGTTTAGCTCCGTCAGGGCAGAGAGCACTCGCCCGCGACGCACCTGCGTTTCTCGCGCGCGAGTGCTCTCTGATCATTACCTAGCCTTAATTAGGTAACGAAGCCCGCCTTTGCCGAAGCTCAGCCAGTTGAATCAATTATATATCTGTGATAGCCCTTTAAAGGAGTATCTTGAATTTTTTGCAAATTCAAGGGAGGGGGGGGGGGGCCTTCGTTTTTTCCGTCCAAAAGCCATTTCGTGCCGAGCTCTGAGCTAGACAGGGCAAGAAAAGTAATCAATAGTACTTTACAAAATGAGTATTTGATTGTTCTCCAAATGGTTTTGAAGAGAGCGACCTTTTTCCGCGGTGGTCCAATGCAAACGAGGGACCGTCACCGGAGAAATATCCCGGAAAGCATTGCGGAAAACAACTATTAATCATTTCAAACTTGTTCACCAATTTTTCCATTCTGCTTTAAAGAAGGAGAATTCAAAAGAAATCGCCGAAGATCTGACCAATAAGGGTTTCAAACGCACAGCAGGCAGAACAACAAGCGCATTGTGGACACCTCCAAATTCCAAAGAAGCTGCCCAGCCTTTAATTTATTATCCGACCCAATAACGGAACAATAATGTTATTTCTTCGGAAAGCCGAACTATGAAGATAAGCGCTAAACAATCAACAATCAAAAGCCCCACCCCATGTGATACCATTTTATACGGCTGTGAAGGTAAACCACAACTACCCGGCCCGAAAAATCCTAGTGAGGTAACCACAACAAACGATACACTTACGATTAAGTTCCTCATGCTACAAATCACAAATGGATTTCTAAGGGAATTTCCCCCACTTACTGAAAACTTCTCTACGAAGAATACGTGACAACCATAGCTGAGGAGGCAATATGGTTATACTTTTGAGAGCTCTTTCGAAAACATCACTTGCTGAGGCGTCTGCTTGACTGGAGTGCCGCCATTGATGTAGCGACAATTCTGGGAACGTTTTGAAAAGGGCGTAGGAAGGAGAAAGAAAAAGTATTCTTGAGAAAAATCTTCAAAAACCAAGTAGCGAGGTCCTGAAGTGCGCAGTATTCGAAAAAGTTGGAGCGAAGAACTGTACAAAAAAATTGGCGCCGAAAAATTCGAGGTGAAGCGACAAAACAACGAAATAAAGCCTTTATAGTAGTGATTAGGCTACCACTTTTGATCCACTTAAACGTGGACGGAGCTTGTAGCCGACACTAATCTAGTGAATACCTCAAAATTTTAGGATTTTGCATCTTCGTATGTGGAACAGTGAAATAAAGGCTTGTTGATGATAAGTGGGTTGATGATACAAGAGAGATGGAATCCGATGCAAACTGGGCGGGGCTTACAGTTGACAGCAGCCGCACACCTTCGAGACTCTGTAATCTCGCACCATGATATTTTAGAACCACGAAATAAAGCCTACTGTGAGTAGATCGATAACGTGCAATACATACTTGATCCAGTCTACGCCTCGCTAGTTCAAAGTAGAGTAGGCAGAGGCGCATATTCACACCTTGTGATAAAAGCACATAAACAGGTGCGCAAACACCGTTTTTATGATTTTTCTAATCGTACCTGAAACACTGACGATTAAGTTCTTTTCAGATGGGCACGATAGAAGTTTCTTTTGGTCGACGTGTACACTGAATGTCTGCAACAGAATAAATCTCATGTTTTCGAGTTTTGCTAGATGATGATTTGTAAGGAGTGGAGGAATTTGTGCTTGTTTTGTCCGCACATATTCAGCATTTTTAATATCTAAAAGAACAAAATATGATACAAGGAGAGTGGAATTACTTAGGTAACGATCAGTGGCCCCAAAAACCATGCTATCCTACTGATCTCCGCTGTGGAGTATGTGTCACTGCCTTCAAAAATTTCAAAGACGTGCTCAACCATTGCTCTAGCAGCGCAAATAGCTTGACCGATTGCTTTGAAGCACTGTGTTTAATTTTATCTGAATTAAGTAAAAACTATTGTTCTTTTTACTGGATCGACTGTTTGTACAAAAAACAGTTTTTCCGTTAGGCGGAGCCCCTAAAACTAATGCAGCCTTTTTTCTCGACTCTAAACTTTGTACATTTGCGGCAAGAACACCTTACTGTCGTGTTCTGATCCTGGCCAGCAAGCGCTCAGCTACCAAGATAGTCGTCACAGCCGCGTTAACAGAACGACTTTGCTTCCTGTTAATGTAATCCACTGGGAATTTCTTTTGAACGTCTTTGCGTGCGTTTCATCTACCATTTCAATGAAATTAGGTAGCCAGCATTTTTTACAAATCCTTGCGCCAACTGCCCTCAACCCTTCAGCAGAAAAGCACGTATGTACATGAGTGCTCGCTTTACTTCTGCATCCAAGAATTTTTGCAAAACCATGGATATCTTAGTTTGATTGCAACCAGCAGCCTAATCAGGCCCGCTTAGTCACCGTTTCTAAAAGCAAATGTACGCAATGGCAATGGCGCAGCCATCATGCCCGAATGTTAAAGGACCATTGCGAAAAACGTGCATGGACATTCGTCATGTTGCGCCCAAGCAACAGGTGTCGTCCAAATCTTGCATAATGCTTATTTACGAGACTGGAGAGTTATACAAAGCTAGAACATCCACGAGTTTATGTGAGATATACGATTACATCGTACGTTAAAAATATGTATACAGAACGAACAGAAGCTTGATTCGAGTGGCATTTAGCCACCCACTGACTTCAGAAAAATAACAGCCGAAAAACGGATTCTGTCGCAAGATGCTCTTTTCGTGGTACCCTTGGTTTCAAAGGGGCGTGCGTATCTGACGGTGTGACATCTGTTGACAAGGGTAGCACGAGACGAAATACGAATGGCGCGATGTGACGTGCCAAGAAAATATTGTGAATTTTAAGGACCCGGTTAACGCCACAACCATGAGACCTCAATCGATTTACTCAAAATTTCTCGGACAATCGACGCTAGCACGCAGATCGCGAACAGGCTCTTTTCAGCCAGCGGCATGTCAGATTGTGAGACATGGCCCTTTAGCAAGCGGTAAAGGTCTCTGCCTCAAATATATTACTTGTGGACGCACAATCATGCTAAAGAGTTTCATCCTTTGGTCAGTAAGAAAGCAATTTTTTGAGACAAGCGATCGCCTTTCGTAAAGCTACCAATGATCAGAGGTCGAACGCCAAAGTCAATTTCTATTTTTGCAAACCTCATGTAGCGCTCTTTTCAACTGATGTTCAAAAGCTAACGCACGTGATATTTAGCAGCACCCAATTTTCCCTTCTATCAGAATCTATTCGAGAATATGTTGCAGTGCTTTGGAATGCAAGTAAAAAACCACGTCGAATTTCACCTCTCACATTCAAAACGTAGAAGCATTTGCTTAGAACATTTTTATTTATTTATTTATTTATTTAATAAGCACATGGTGCGCCCATACAAAGAAAAACGAAGCATCACACCGAACAACCAACAACAAAAAAAATAAAACAAAAAAGGTGAACTCCCCACTGAATCAGTTTAAGTCCAGTCCGCAAAATCTTTTATGAGAGCATAATAAAGCTAAGTGCGTTACAAATCTGCTTGTCTATCAACATGTTTTGACAATAAATTTTTCGAAGCGCAAAAAGATCGAAAAAACAAGAAAAGAAGCTATTGCACAGAAAAGTTCAGTTGACAGGCCTTTGTCAGCCATTTTGCCAGTCAAAATATCTATACATATACAAAACTCAAAGTTTGTGACTAAGTATGCTTCCGCGAGGGTATGTTCCCTTTGGAAGTATTTGTGAATTAACCAATAAGCCCCAAATTTTCCACACATAGGTTTTCACCCCGCGCATATGATAGGCTACTTTATATGGAGAATCGAGGGGCCCTTCTACCAATTTGTTGACTCGTTCATTTACACCTTGGAAACTTAAGGCCTCGAATGTTACAAAGCCATTTTTTTAGGGTACTGTATATCGCAGCGCTTTGCTTATTCTGGGTTTGTGAAAGGGGAGCGTAGTAAAATGAAATGTAATTAAGGTTGATTTTTATATGTGCAAATAAGTTTGAGGTGCCTTCATAGCGCGCCGGCAGCCGCCGCCCTTAGCAGCTCGTAGCCGCTGCTGGCAGCCTCCAGTAGCTGCTGGCAGCCCGTAACCGCCTCTGGCCGCTTTTGTCATGGGAGTGAAAATCTTCAAATTCTAACTACTTGAGTGCGCTCGCCCACGCTTCCATCTTCCATGCTTCTTTCTTCTTATTGCCGCTAATGTGCAGTTCGACTCTCACACATTACAGAGTTATTTAAGATAAGCATCGATAGCCAAGGATATGATTGAAGCAGACCCATACTTACAAAATAAACAAATAGCACACCTGAAGAAACTGGACGCATCCAAAGTCAGAAGAATTCAAACCACGAAACTTTGGCGAACTATTAATCAACTGCGAGAGCGAAACTAAGCACGGATAGGATAAATAATCTACGGCACAAGATAATAACAACAGCGGACACAAGTTTGATATAGATCGAATTGCGGCAACAGGAAGGAAGAAGTGTGGAAGATAAAGAGCGTGGGTGGTTGCACTCGAAATGCAAGAATTTGATGATTTCGCTCTTCTATACAAAGGCGGCCAGCGGGCGGCTGCGAGCTGCTGGCGGCGTCTGCCGGCGCGGTATAAAGTCATTTTTAGACTTTGTTTGATATGCGCAAGCTTCTTGACAGTTCATAGATATAAAATGTAACATTTTCCTAAAAGATCCAAGTTCCTTTTCGCAGCTTGAGTGTGACACTAAGTCTGCACTATACATGAGTCTTCATGACTGATTAATAAGCAGCAAAGTCCCTCGTTATAGATTGGGAGGAGCGGTAATGTTCAACGTAGAGTTGACCCTACAAATGAAAATTTTAGGCTACACTTACTTCAAATGGCAAGCCTATCAAAAAAGATACCTCAAAAAATGAGCAGCTTTGGCTAGACCTCTGGATTGGTCAGTATAGAAACAATCGAATAGCGGAGCACGACAGAATGTGATCTTCAACTTTGTGAATGTGATATGCTAATCAGTTAACCAGTCCTGCAAGCTCATGCGTACATCATTTAGGGTAGCGAGCAGATGATAACAGAGGTTGACACAAAATATTTCCAACTTTTCTTGCAAGCTGACCATGCCGCCAAACAAGAGAGTCTGCAATGGAAGGATCAACCTTAAAACCAAAAATAAAGAGTGAGAAGAAAAGGGGAAAGTTCTGGAGAGTGCGAGGCACGCCTTGCAAATCGTTTTTTGTTTTTGATCCAATTCTTTCTATCCTTAGCAATATCAGCATGGCGTGAGTATTTACATCCAATAGCCGGGCAAAGCCGGACACACCAAGTATGTATATTAAGTGGATCCGAAAGTTCGTGCCGTTTTTACATCTATCCTTAAATCATGCAAAATAAACGATAAATGAACGTTCTAAACAGTGTTCTATGCAGAATTTTTTCTATTTTCAACAGTGTTTGTTCTGTTCGGAATCCTCCAATGTTCATTCGAGTAATCCACAAACTCCAACTCATGCAATTTACGCACCCTGACTTTAGCTATTTTTGGAATTTTTGTTTCGGACTTTTGGAAAGCTTTATATAACAGGATAGAGTAAAGAAAATGCTACAAAACCCAATTTTTGCATCGATAGCTGGCTTTTCAGTATTTCAATATACAAGTTTCAGGTCTTCAGGTCTTCACATTTGCGAATTCGTAAAACATGCTTCAAACACTATGAAATCTTCGCAACTTGAAACTTCCAATAGTCAATTATGATTATACCTAATTTCAACAGACAAATAAGTTTCAATTGCTCCTCGAAAAGCTGATGTTCGAAATTTTCGGATGCAGCCTGAGACGCATAAAAAACAGAATTATGGCGATTTTTTCCTCGAAGCCCTTCACAAATCAGAAAGGAACATTCGTCAGAAAGAGGAGAAGAAGCTGCACTGGATGACACCATAGCTGTTTGCCGTGGATGTTCTACGAGGTTTGGGATAAACAATTATTGAGTTTGGTAGCATCAAAGTGATAATTCTAAAAAATTTGAAAGCCAGCTGTCGATGCCGAAGATTGTATCACATTGCATTTGGTTTACTCTATCTATCTGCTATCAAAGCAATTCCAAATTTCCAGAACGAAAATCTAAAAACTGCAGAAGTTAAGGTAGGTAAAAACCAAATGATGAAGATTCTGACAATATTCCGAGAGTCAGGGCCTGGCACCAGCTGGAACGGGGCAAGCTGGATATCGTTTTTGGGGCAAAAAGCAAAGGGGGTTTCGTTTTTGTGGGCGAAGACATACGGAAAATTGGCGGCGGCGACCTTTTTTTTTTTTTTTTTTTTTTTTTAGTCGACGTTTCGTTTTTTGGGGGATTTTGGGGATTTTTTTAGGATTTTAGGGGGGATATCGTTGAGGATCAAAGGGGACTTCGTAAAATTTCCCAAAAGTCAAGGGGGACTTCGTAAAAATTGGCAAATTTCAAAGGGGACTTCGTTTTCAAAATTCCCTGG